TCAGCTGCTTCACTCCTTCAGCTGCTTCACTCCTTCAGCTGTTTCACACCTTCAGCTGTTTCACTCCTTCAGCTGCTTCACTCCTTCAGCTGTTTCTTTAAAGGTCCACCTGGTTTTAAAGGATCTAAGTGAAAAACATGAACTCAAATGTAAAATCAAATGTTTCTCCATGAAACTGATGTTTGAAGGTTTACTCCCGTCGTCTCTCCAGGTGTCTGTTTTAAAATGCGGGCAGGCACTCAACGTAAACAAAGGACTCACCTGGACCCAGGAGACTAAAGACCCTAGAGACCGAAAACCCAAGAGACTTACTACTTGAGACCCAGGACAACAGGAGACCCATAGGGAGTGCTGACTGGAGGTCCTCGGTAACAGCAGACTGAGGGACGTTCATCTGGACCTGCTTGGAGGCCACGAGGAACTGACGTGTTCTTCTGGGCCCTCTCAGAGATCACCAGGCAAGAAGAGCTTGGTTCCATCAGGATCCTTTCCTTCTGGTGACGACGCTGATGTCGGCGGGTCTAGAGTGATTCGGCTCTAGAATGGTCAAACAGTGTAAACAAAGCGCTTTTCCAACCCCCCCTGAAGCCACGTGGCAGGTTGAGGGTCTGACCTCCGGCTGTTTGTCCCGTCGTCAGTCGCTTCGGTTCGTTAACGAAACACATCCAGTTAAATAGTGAGTACCCCCCCCCAATAAACAAACAATCATCTGTTAACTGGTGGTCCTCAAGTGTCTCTTGGTGTGAGACCGGTTTCCTTTCGCTCAGTTCAGTTTATTTGTGTCGCTCCAAGTCACAGCAGAAGTCGTCTCCGGTCTCAGAAACATCCACGTCCATTAAGAAGATCATTAGTGAAAGTTCTCTCTCTGAGCAAGCACCAAGGAGACAGTGGAAAGGAAAAGCTCCCTTAAACAGGGAGAAACCTCCAGCAGAACCAGGCTCGGGACGAGCGGCTGGGTTTGAGAGAAGGTGCAAACTCTGACCCCTGACCTCTCACCCGATGACTGCCAAAGATCAGCACCGGGAACAAGCGAGGAAAGAAAATGGCCGACTGGATGAGGTTCCATGTTGGCCAGACCTGCTGGACCTGCTGGACCAGTACAGACCTGATGAAACAGAGCTCACGGTTGAGTAGAAACATACAGAAGTTCTCTGGAAAGAGCTTGAAGTGTTCCGATTTGTTCGTAGCCGTTTTGTGTCGGGAGCTTTGAAATAAAAAAAGTTTTCATGTCGGTCCAAACCTGTAGAGCTAAAACGGTAAAACCAAAAGTAACCGTTCAGACAGAATGAGTGAGAACAGGTGTGTGTGTGTGTGGGGGGGAACAATGTGCAGGAAAACAGAAACGCCAGAAATAAACTCAGAAACAAACTGATAAACAATAAACTAAGATGGCTAAAAGAGGGGAACGCAAACGAAACCATCAAACATCAAACTGTGACAACCTACAAGCCCATTGGCCTGTTAGCCTCTTAGCTCGTTAGCCTGTTAGCTTGTTAGCCTGCAAACCTGTTGGCCT